GCTCAAAGGATGACTGACATTCCTTGGGAATGCCTTCCAGCCCTCCTCCCTCTCCAGCCCTAGTCGGAATCCCTCTCTCCAATTTGGACTTTATTTCTTTGGCCTTTGTTATGGTTTTATTACCTCTTGGTGACCAGAGACAGTATAAAAACATGGTTATGCCTGTTTCAAACTTTATATAATTGATATTAAACTGTACAGTGTCCCTCAGCATTTTCTCTCCATTATATATTGAAACTGTTCCCCACATAGGCAAGTGTAGCTTAGTCCACCACTCGTTCTCCTGACAGGCACTAGTCCTTCCTGCAGTCTGCAGAGCACCTCCATGTGCGCCGCCCCTCACACAGCTGAGGGCTTTCTCAGCCCTCTGGCTCTACCCCAGAGAAGTCTGTTCCCTCACACCCGGGGACACCCAGATGAAATCACGCTTTGCAGTCTAAATTAACTGACCTTCCCAAACTCCTACTGCTCCAAAGGAGACACTCTGTCCTTTTGGTTTCTCCCCCAGGAGTCACTGTGAAAAAAATGTTCATGCATCATTTAGCCTCAGCACCCCCACACTGAGACGCAGCACAGAGGACAGAGAGTCTCGGCAAGCCTTACTTCCTGCTTCCCATTTCCATAAAGACCAAAGACGGCATTCATATTCTAACAGGACAAGCCATTGATGATCTCAATAAAGCACAAGCTGCCATAGATAACCAGCCATGAAGAGAGACAGAGTTAACAGACAATAAAGGCTCTTAATTTCTACTCACGAGATGCAATCAGAGCACTAGATAGAATGAACCTAGAAAGAAAGAGGTCAGAGCTCACGTTAAAATTAGAATTCTTAATTAAGAACAAAGTTACTCCCACAAAGTGAGCTATAAAATACCTGTATAAAAAAAGACCGTATCTGAGATGAGCTAAAGGGGTGACCTTTCTTGGCTGGTGATGGTGCTCAGCCATATGCTACTCAACCCTGATTCTTTAAGCGACATGTCCATAGCTGATGACAGAGCAAAATGAGTGGGCTTCCCTCTTTGGGCCTGGTCTCAGTGCCATCTGTCATCACGTCCTTGATGAGGACCTCACACTTTGACACTGAATCAGTGACCTTCACAAATTTCCTAAGGTATTCTGAAGCAGAGAATTCATCACAGATATAAGGAGAAAGCTCTGAGTTGTGAGGAACATGACAAGATGGGTCAGATAAAAATGCCTTCAAGTCACCAGAAAACACAGAGCATAATGGGAAGAGGTTGTGTGGAGAGAGGCTGGGGGAAGGGCACTGACAGAGGAGTCCTTGGCCCCAGCCTTCCTTACTGAGGACAACCAAAACTACACCCTCTGATCCCCAGTAAGCCATGTTCTCAGCCTGCCTTCTCCATGCCAGAAGCACTCCAGCTCCCTGAGAGGAAACCAGAGCTCCCTGTTGTGTCATTTGGGCTGTGGTCTCCTGAAGGGCAGGGACTGTACCTTCCCCCAAATCATGAACCATGTCAACTTGGGGGTAGGAATAGGGCTGTGTCACAGAGGCTCCAGTGTATCTCAAGCACAGGGCAGGGCCAAATCCAATAGTCCTAGATTTGACTTCAGGAAAATACATGGAAATCTCAGGCTGGGTATAAGCTTCAGTTTCTAGGATGTCTATTTGCCTCTCTGAGCTGGTATCATACTGGGAGCTTCAGGAAAATTTCAATAGCTTCAGCAGTGACACAAGGGCTTCTCTGAGGATGGGCTGTATGTACCTCCTTGTGTGCTTCGCTTCTTTGCTGGCACCTGGGAAGGGTACAGGGAAAGCAAAGGCAGAAACTAGTTTCCCACAGAACTTGATGCTATCCCGCTTCTGACCCCTTAGCTGTCCCAGCACAAGACAAGGTCCCTCCATACAGGTACCATCAACCAGAGGAGGAAAGCAAAGATGAAAAAATAGGTTTGGCTTTCCAGAACATTCTGTAGGGAAAAGTGACAAATGTAGGGCCCTTGAGTGGAGTGATTGTCTCTGAACAGAGCAAAGAGACATCCTCAGACTATGCCTGATTATGGGGAAGACTGGAAGCCTTCTAAGTGTGAGGGAGCAACAATAAAAAGACCTAGGTCCTCAGAGCCATCTTTGAATGACTTAGATTTAGGGTACAGCCACTGGATACCCATGCCCCTAGGTCTGGCCAGGGAAAGAAATGGTGACAGGAGTAAAAGACTCAGTACTATGAATGGCAAAAGGAAGAAGCTTGTGAAGCATTCATTTGCCCTGCTTTTACCCTCCAAGATCAATTCAGCCATTCTCACCTGAAGCCCTGGTAGCCCAGGGAGACCAATGTCCATAAAGGGACCAGCAGCAGAAAATAGCAGTTAACTTTTTTTCTGCATGGTATACCTTGTCTTAAGAAGTACAGATGTGGGCTGGTGAGATGGCTCAGTGGTCTAAAGCAACTACTTAGAACAAGCTTAGCAAAGCACAGGGACCACGGTTCGATCCCCCAGCACCACATGCCAGCCAGCCCCGCCCCCTGGTGGGCTGAGCTGGCCATACACACACACACACACACAATATAAAAATAAAAATAAAAAGAAGAAGAAGAAGAAGAAGAAGAAGTACAGATGTGCTGCTCAGTGCTGCGGCTCGTGATGATAACCTCAGCACTTGGGAGGCGAAGCACAAGGATGGAAAGTCCAAATCCCATCTGGAAACTTAGAAAGCAGACTCTCCCTCAAAAAACAGAAGGTCTGCGGAAATGAACCAGAACCAGGGCCCTGGGCTCAATCTGCATTACCAGAGGAAAAAGACAAGAGAGTTTCACATGTGTGTTAATTCACCCGATCCTCCCAACCCTGTACAGTAGACACTATTATTAGGCCTATTTTACAGAGGAGGAAGCTGTGACATGGACACTGCCACTTGCTCTGTGCCATGCAGCGGGGACCTGAGGATGGACTCACCTCACAGGCATGTGTTCCAGCCCCTATTCTCTGAGCCCCTCCATGCGGCCTTGATGGCTGTGGGGAAGAGCTCCCTGGCAGACATGGGACTCCACGTCACGTTCTCGAGTGCTTGGGTGTGGACACTGACTGACCTCTGGGGCTTCTTAGAAGTAACTTAGGGCTGGGGAGAGAGTTCAGCAGCATAAGCACCTGCCTGGCAAGCACAAGGTCCTGAGTTCAATCTCTGGTACTGGAAAAAAAAAGTAACTTGGCTTTCTTGGAACCTCGGGGATGAGCAGAGGGTATCTATTTCCTCTGAATACTGCACGCTCTTGGGGAGGCTGGTCAGTCAGTCTCTCCCAATGCCTGAACCCTCCTACTGAGTCTGCTCAGCTCCTGGCGGTGGGGCCCA